ACCTTACCCTCTGTACGGTCCACAGTGACATCCCAGGGGTCAGACATATCACCCTGACCAAAACATCGGATAACCTGACCTGTTGTTGAATACAGTCTACAGCATTTATCATGGCTTGTGACCACGAATCTATCGTTACTGACTATAGCGATACGCCTCCCCCCTCTCTCTATACGGATCTCTCGTTTACATTGACCTGTCCTGGAGAATACGGGCACTGTAATACCATGGACAACTAAGACACAACGGTCATCTGTGCACTGCATATCCCACGGCCGACATTTAACATTAACAAACGTAGTACGCTCTGGCATGTCAAGCCATGGGACATTCTGAAATTTCTTAAGCTCGGGACAGTGTGTTCTCTTTTGTTTCAAACTTCCAAAATATGCATCCAAGGGACCCTGGTATGTTTTGGCGGTAATGGACCCCGTTTTGATGGACAGCGGCCGTGTAGGTTCAGGCATTTTCGGAAACTGTAGCACGACGTCCATTTTTGATGTCCCTGGTGTAAATGTTATTTTGGTGATCTTAGAATCAAAAACAGGTTCTATTGTCTCTAACTCCTGGATTCTTGTTTGGAGTTTTTTAGAGTGGGTCATGACCTCGATGTCAGAACCGGTGTCTGTCAGCTGTTGAGCGAAATTACGGATGCTTTGAATGGAGATTTTGTTCATTTCTAGCCTGTCCTTTTCAGCTTCTAAAGTCTTTACCTGCGTGGACGTAATTGCTTTAACTTCTGCTGATATTGCGTTGCTTTTGTCATCTATAAATCGTTCCATTTTGGTATAATTGGACTGTTTTTTTGTACGATACCTTTCTAAACACAGTTTTACACTTGTTAAATACGCGTCGGTCTGTTGACCTACGTCTTTCTCTACTTGTTGATAATAAGCTTCCAATTCCATGTCAATAATTTTACTGTTTTCCTTTATTTCCTTCATCATAGTTATTTTTTGGGAATCTACCAAACGAAGAACCTTTGTCTGATTTTTTGTCAGCCTCTCTTCCGTCCGCACTATAGCCTTTTCCGCCATTTCAAAACGAGACAGTTTCTCAGTAGGGAGACATTTAAGCTTTTCTTGTATCAGATTCCGCTGAACCTTTACAACATCTTCTAGTTTTTTGAAATCGTGTTTACTATGAGTTTCCAAAATACAATCTCTACATGTCACGGTGTCATCCTCTTCACAATAGAATGTCAGCAACTCGCCGTCGTGTTTGTCGCAGAATTGAGCTTCATCTAATACGTGACGTAATTCTTCTCGTATGTTAGCTGGGTTAACTGAGAAATGGACTTGTGACAGAGGTACAAAGTGATGTCCATTTAATGCAGGGATACTGTCATGCAACTCACGACATGTAACGCACAGTTGGTTGATTTTTGGACAACCTTGGCACAGCAAAGTAGCCTCTTTATGCTTACAATACTCACAAAGTTTCCCCTTGGGCTCTTTCTGATATTTCATGCAGTCTGTTACTTTCCTGAAGAAGAAATTTTTCACGAGAGTTTCTAATCCACCTGGTGGTACGGGGGCCTCTTGGCGACACACGGGGCAGGAGAACTTGTTCTGGACACCATTCTTGGCTGCTTGGTCAGCAATGCATTCCAGACAGAACGTGTGGTAACAGGGGAGCACCCTCGGGTCTTTATATTCCTCCAGACATATATGACACGTTAGAAAGTTCTCGCTGAAGACACTGCACATCTCTTTCGAAGCCATTGCCATTGTATAGGTGCTTTGAGTGGGCACAGCGCCCCACCCCCTACAAGACGCCCCGCTCTACTGCTGTCAAAACCGTTGCGTGCGCTTTATATATCATTTAATAAGTGATCTATACTACTTCAAAGTTGTCACCCGATCGACACATCCCAATCAGGTGATGTTGTCAATAACCAGGACGGTATCAAAGTCTACGCCGTATTAGCTGAGTGCATGACATATCAGTGATATAATGTGATGGGTGTCATCCCGCATACCCCCTTGCACTATAGTGTAGTAGGTTTGATAAAACGTATTGGAATACTGGTATATCCCCTGGTGTTATACATGTATTGTCAAAGCTTTGACAATCATAGGTGACGAAATGCGGGGCGACATTTGAAATATGCTCGCTTTTATTTAAACATTGTGAAAAAAAAAAAAAGAAACAAGAGTCTGGGATGCGCATGTCACATGACCCTTTGTTAAACAGCTTGGGGTGGGGACGTTCTACACAAGAATTTTCTTTCTTTATCTGTGTATGAACATTAAGAAAGACATAAAGTGACAGAGATGGTGAGGGCATTGGGAATGGTGTTTTGATAAATTAAACCTGGTTGAAAAAAAGATCTAAGCCTCTGGCTGCTATACACCTAGCCATTGCCATAGTACATGTATTACCCCCCCCCCCTCCATCCCCTTCACACCGACCGCCCTGCTCTACTGTTGCCAAGGTCGTTGTGTACGTGTATTTATCGTTTAGTAGGTTATCTAAAGTAAGACCCGCTTTTAAAGTTGTCACCGATCAATACACCACAATCAGGTGATGCTGTCAATAACCAGGACGGTATCAAAGTCTATCAACAACCATTAATTGTGATAATACCACTTCATCATTAAGCATTATAGCATTGAGTACAAGTACATTAAGTAGTATTCAATGTTTTATGTCCAATCCCAGCGGGCAAATTATGTTGATTTAACGTTGAAACAACATCAAACAATAACGTTGATAAGACGTTGGATACACGTTGGATTTGAAAGTTGGATCAACGTCATATAGCAACATTGTATCAACGCCAGATAACAACATTGTATCAACCCTTGTTGTAGACAACATTCTTGTATGAAAAGATATTAAATTGACCTGAAATGTTTTTATTTTTGGTACAAAACACAGGTACACAATTATAACGTACACTGTAAAAACATCCAAGTGCCTGCTTTGTCTCATTTTTTTCAACGCTTTCAGCTCCTAAGCATGTTTTACACCTAAGTATGGTACACCCTTTTAGCCTGGATGTACTTAGTAGTAGGACATGTTTGATGGCTAAATATATGTACGACCAATTTAAGTTAGGATTTTCAGGGTTTAGTTTTATATATATCGCCCCAAGCTGTTTTCAACGTTGATCCAACGTCACTATGCCTGTTGGGATGTTTTATGTCCAATCATGGTCAGAAATGTGCAGCATTCACGCGATACGCGGTGGCGCAACAGTAGGGCTGACTCAACTAACCAATCACAGCACAAGAATGGCATCGCACACAGACTCGGTGAGAAGTGCTCAGCCCATTGTCAAGTAGTGTTAGTTCATGGTAACAAGCGTCTGTTATGTGCGGAGAAGTTTATTATTATAATATATATTGTTCTTATTGTTACATTATTAAATCTAACTCTGTATCCAAGTAGTAACTATACTGTACCAAGTCAGGTACTGATGATGTACAGAGGTCATATATTCCAGAATGAGCCATTGCCACTGATTTATAACTTTCATGTTTTTAATATGTTATTCATGAAAGAGTTAATGAAAGATTATTTTAATTTGTTAAATGGTGATCTTATTCTTTTTATATTCAAATAATTGAATAATGTGGGTACAATTGGTCTTCCACTTCTTATTTGCATTTTTTCCTTTACTATAAGATTATTTTGGAACAGTTGCAGCATTAAAAATTAAAATAAATAGCAATCTGAAAGAAGAATTTTGCATAATTATTAAATGATGATAGGAATTTTGGATCAAGAGATTAGTTAAATACTGAGTAGTGATATTGTCAGTCAATTTATGTAGAATCTGATAATATGATTAAAAATCCTGATTGAATTCTTGGCCTTGCACTGGGCAGTTTTACATTTGTGCCAAGTGCTTTTTTTGGACTCCATTGTACAATGGTAAAAGTTCTTCAATTGCCATGAATTTTTTTAATCAGACTCTATATGGTGCTGCTATCTGCTGGTGCTATCGGCAACGAATTAATTTGCCTTTGTTTCGGAGTGAATCTACCGTCTAAAGTCACTATTACTGAAAATATTTGTGTTTTGCTGAGGGTAGGCTAGGCAATACACGGCGAACTTCTTAGTATGTGTGTACAACAGAATTTTTTTAAAAACCCTAGCGATATTTGGTCAGGAATTGCTTGAAGCATAGCACAACCTTGTTGTCTATCGGCATCAGCTCGTTAGTTTGTCATAATCTCACGAATTACCCACAAATCGCGAACCCATTCATTTTCCTATGGCAATCTAGCAGCTCATTAAAAATGTACGCATGCGCAGTGGGCTAGGCGTGACGTCATGCAGAGCATTTCTGGGGATGGTTTTATCAAAGCATAACCACCTTTCCTCCAGTTAAAGTTGGGGTAAACAGATAAACAGGTAAACACATTTTATACATGTTTCATATGCGGTGGGCAGTGGGTATTAGTCACATGAAAAGTAACGGATGATCAAAGGGATTCCTGGATAAGCTAGAAAATGTTTACCCCACCCGTCCCCAATGAAGCACCTTGATTCAAGACTTATTTACCTGGGAGGGAGGTAATCTGTTTACCCAGCCTTTACCTGGAGATATGTTTTGATCAGATTTTAATAAGTTCTCTTTACTTCTATATCTAAATAACTCTGTACTTTTACTTCGTGAAAATAATTTGTTTAATGCAATTAATATTCTTTATCCTTGAGTTGCATTATCTCACTAAGAAATATACATGAAATGAATGAAAAGGATTGAACCTCATTATTTTTACTTTATATTTGTATATAAATACGGTATATATTCTTCGGATTCGGGGACAGTTGTCCCGGGGGAAACCATCTCTGGAGGGATTATCCGGGGGGGGGGGGGGGTCCTGATACCCATTTGATATTTCTGTTAATGAAGTTAACGAAAAAAGGAGATTTTAATAAACGTAATCTGCATAATATCAATCCCCCTCGTTAAACATTAACCTATTGTTAATGTTAGAATATTATCTATATAATAGCCTATAGGGTCTTTGTTACCAGTGTGCCAGTGGCACTGTTACAGCTTGTACTGAACGCCTTTTATACCGAGCAAAAACACAATCCAAAATATACCACGGTTCATGTCAGATTTATGTAAAGACGCACAAAGAAACCTAAAAACATTTAATAAGCGATTTATTTTTTGTGGTCTGTTCTCTTACTGTAAAACTGTCCAAAGCGGTCTCACTTAGATATTGGTTCCGAAGGCTCCTTTTCCAATTCCTTTTCTGAGGTAGATCCAATGTTGCACCATTGAATAATACATGTACATATAGAAATGTTAAATGGATAACAACGCTTCGTATGTGATCTATATTTAACAACAAATACATTCTTAACAACTCATAGGAATATTTTTAATAATCTACTTTACCAAAAATGTTATAGTAATAAGTTTGAATTTGTGCTTGTCGTCGGACCACGTGACCTCCATAGATGGCTATACTCTGTTGTAATCTCTTAAGAGATTATTACAAAGAAAAAAAAATAAAAGAAAATGTTTTAGAAACAACAGGCACTAACTTTGAGTGTAGAAACATGATTCATTAACCATGGGACAATTGTCGTTTACCCCATGAATATTCATTTTTGGCCATAATTGAAGTTGAAATCCTTTTATGTAGATTACACACGCATTTTGCATTTTGTAATTACATATAAGGAAATTGATAAATGAGTCGAGTGCTCAAGCAAGCGACTCCATTAAGATTAATTTACAAGTCTGGGGATTTTATATGTGAACTGCAGATGCAAGTTCTTTAAACTTCATAGTTTTCTACAAAAGAAAAAGTATATATATATATATATATATATATATATATATATATATATATATATATATATATATATATATGTCGTACGGGACACGTGAGGAAATGATTTTTCCCACTGCTCTTG